CCCCAGACCTGGGGGGGGGTGTGTTTCAGGGGTCAGGGCAGAGGGCTGGGGGAGGGGGTTCAGGGCAGAGGGCTGGGGTGCTCAGCTCGTGGGGGTGCTCCCAGCCCCCTGCCCTGAGCTGCTCCTGGCAGGGGGCTGGAAGGGATATGCCCTGTTCCATCCCCTTCCCTCAGGCTCTGTCCCTACCTCTCTCTGCATCCTCTACGAAGCTGTGTGCACGCTGCCGCTCTTCCCCCTCCCCCTCGCTAGCGCCATCAGCTGATTGACGCAGGGACGGAGAGGAGGAGGGGCAGGAAAGCACCACGCTGGGGGAAGAAGCGGGAGAGGAGGGTAGCTTGGCTGCTGCAGAACCAAGCTTCTGCCTCCTGCCCCCGCAGGAGAGAGCGGTGGGCGGGGGGGTTGAGCGCCGGGACCGCGGCAGGGAGCTGCGTGCCACTCAAAATCTGCACGCGTGCCATAGGTTGCCGACCTGTGGCCCAGATCATAAACACAATTATACCTCTCTCTTATGTACTCTGATCAGCAGTGACATATTTTATAACGTGGCCATTTAAATCAGCATGAGGCTTCATGGTCAAAACACCTCTGAAATAAATGGGGCCAACTGATATGTGTCAGGATTATTGTTTCATGATGTTTTCATCACTTAGCTTTCAAAACATGAACAGTGTTTCTTTGTAACCTGAAGAGCTACAGACTTAATTTTCTAGTTAAAGCTTAAAGTACTAGATTAAACATCCATGATCTGCACCAATCTGATTCCTAATTCTCTTAAACTGGCATCAAACAGCACCCCAGCATATTATTTTATTTGCAATGAAAAAGCTACTCTAAATACATCAAATGGAAGTGATTAATTTAGTTGCTAGGTTCCATTTCTCTCTCTACTGGTTCTCTCCAAGCTTGGAGAACAAACATGCTGTGGAAGGTTGCATAATGTTCTCTTATTCAAAACTCAGCTTCCACGTTGGTAAAATACATATTTGTTTTTCCACTCCCATGAAAGGAAAGCTGATCTTTTTTAATTTAGCTTTGTAAAACTGTCATGAACATTTGTCAGGTTAAGTGCAAGATCTTCTCCCCACACTTACCATTACATCCTGAAATTGCTGTGTGAGTGTGAGTGAGAGAGAGACTTGCCCCGGCAAGCAGAATTTCACAAAGCTGCTTTAAATTTTTAACCAATGTATTGTAATTAAGCTTTTTCCTTGTACTTCCAATTACATCATTCCACCACCCATGGGATGTTTTTACTCCACTCCAGAAGAATGATTAAGCAATGACTTTCACTTTAATTAAGGGAAGTCTACAAAGTGAAAATGAGACAATATTTCTTTCAATTTGCTAGTGATTTGGACTGTAAAAGAAGTTAAGACCATAAGACAAGATATTCCCTATTGTACAAGCTCTTTCCCCAACCCATGTGTCTCAAAGTGTGACTGAGCAATTTATTTGAGCAGAATATTGGTAAATTCATTCTCTCCCTACCTGGCAATCAAGATCTTTTCAATGAAGATTATATATCCTGTAAGTGCAAGGTATTACTGTTAGGATGAACTGGTAAAGATTAGAAGGAAAGTTAGGCTGAGGAAAGAAGTTATTCAAATTGCTGGAGAAAACAACAATGAGACTCTTTCTTGATTTTTAGATTTCCTGTAGGACAGTTAGGTATTAAAGACCTAAGCAAGCTTGGTTTCAGACATGAGACAAAAACATTTTGTCTAGTTTTGAAACGAGGCCTCAGCCTGTCCTTGAAATGTGCAATAAGAGGCCTAGAAAGACTTTCCCTTGAGCACATAGCTATTGCCCTTTGGTAGTCTGCTAGCAGGCAGATATAAACGAAGATTATATTTGGGCTTGGCAGGATATCAAGAACAAAGTGGATCTATAACACATGCATTCAAAGATAAATGCTGCCTTAATGCTAGTGGTGCAGTTCTCAAGGTCAGCAATCTGAACACTAGGACTATTTATCCTGCAAAAATGGAATTTAAGTGAAAGATCCTTGTTAACTGGCCTAAGAGAGAATGGATCCTTGTAGGTCACAGGAAGGGTAGGACGGGGAAGTTTAATATCACAACGTTTGCCTCCGCAACACCTGGCTGTGGATAAATTGAGAACTTTACATTCCATCTCCCTTTTTTAAGCTTTCAGCACGCATTAAAGTGACTTCTGCCTCCTATGAAATGGATGTGAAGTTGTCATATGGATTACTGCATAAGGAAAAGTGAGCTCTAATATAAGAAGCCAGGACAGGAATGGTGTCTAAATAATAGCATCTTTGAGTCAAATAGCTGACAACTACATTCTGTTTGGAGGGAAATAATTTTGTTGTGGACATCATTAACTTAACACTCCCACCTACCCAATGCTCCCCTCACCCCCGAGCTATTTCCAACAGGGAAATTTTAAAAGATTTTAAGTGGGCTAAGAACACTAAATGCAGAAGACCCCATTTCTGTGGCCAGTGTAGCCAAGGAATGTAATAACTCTAAAACAACGTTGAGCATAATAGCACAAAAGTGGGTACCATGCAGCACAGTTATTGGCTAGAATGAAGGGACCGGTGGAAAGTCTAAAAACCTTCCTAGTCCTGGCTGGTATCCAAAGAGTCTAGACTGGGCAGGCAATGACCTCATTTTTATGTGCTCTTGGTCAGGTCAAAGGAGAGCTCAAACTTATTGCATGCTATGGTTGGGGTCCCCAGCCATAAAATAAAATTAAAAAAGGAATAACCTATGCCCACCCTTATAGTGTTACAGTAACAGTTCTTACTCTGTAAACTTTAGATTATAAAATTAACATGGCGCTAACAATGCACACTCACAAAAGTGTCAGATGCAGGCTAAATGCTGAAACAGAAATCTTATACACTATGTAGTCTAACTTTACCCATTCACACCGAACAGTAATGTTTAGCTAATGCTAAACAAAACAAACGAACAAACAAAAAAAAGCATTTCATTTAAGACTTCAGTGCATTTCAGGAGGACATTTAGATTGTTACCCAAAATATGAGATTCTAATTCATTTTAGAGCTCATAAAGAAGAGCTGTAAAATAAAAGCATCAAGTTATACCCAACAACAGTTTGAGAGAGGCTAATTTTGTAGGGCAAGGAAGTGATATGCTGCTAAAATTATTGGAACATTTTATTCAACTGTATGCTGATGAGAAAATAAAATATTTGCATAGAGATGTTGAATGCTCTTGAATCCTTAAGCAGCACACAAGCAATTCCAGTTCAAGGCCTTGTGATGCTACAAGTGAAACTGTTTCACCTCTGCTGTGGACTAGGCTGAGTTTTATTTTCCAAGCACTGTAGTAAACCTCACAACTATCAGAACTGAAAATGATAAATGAAAGGTTTGTGTTTAGACACACAAGCTGCATCCTACAGGTAGTTACCGTAAACTGGTCTTATGATCAGTATACTGGTTGCATGCAGACTGCACTTCAAACATAATTCTATCTTGGCAGCATTTCTCCATACCCAGAACAGCTTTAAAGGAATTCGTAAGAGAAGAAGAAGAAGAAGACTCACCGGTTCTGTTCCTTCCTTTGTTTGATTAGTTGAATTAGTTCCTTGTCAAAGTACTCTTCATCAGCCTCTTCTTTCCCTTCATCTTCCTCTCTGTCGTGGGCATCGATATTGTCTTTGTGCAGCTGGCTGGAGATGTGCTTGGCATATGCCGACAAGCCCACCACTGTCACCCTGCACACCTGGCACTTGTGGTTGCTGTCCCTGGGGAAAGAGGGAGAGGATGGACATTCAATCCTTCCCACGGGCATGGTAGACAACTCAGATCTTACTCTGTTTCCTCTGAATATGCCAGTTTTCTGAATCAATTGCTTGTGCAGTAGGCACTATAATTTTGCTCAATACACTAAAACTGTTTGAATTTTCTGGCTTTTCTTTTTTCCTATTGCAATTTTCCCCAACTTTGGGGGCTTTTTGTGATCAATTTGTAGAGATTTTTTTCCAACAATCAAGAGGTAAAAAACTTGGGAATAGAGCAGAATAAATGTGTGGGGGGCAGGGAATTCTTCTTGGATTGCTGTACTCAAAATCTTATCAGAGGAAACATAGTGAGAGGAGGCAGAGTGGAGGGCTTACAGAGCTAGCAGGAGCTGCTCTGAAGCACACCCATGGTGCCAGCTGCACTGGAGAAGCCTGGTGACAGCTTCTACATTTAATCTCTGCCTCATGCTTTCCCCCAGTGAAAGCTAGAAGAGGGAGGAGGGGGTATACTGCTACAGCCAATCCTAATACAGTGTAACCTAAACTGGGACAGCTGAGACCTCTGCTTGGAATTCAAAGACTCCATAGCACAGCAAGTGATGGGAGGGGTCTTCAGTTCACTGTACTTTATTTGGTTCAAATGATGCATGAGGTCTGCTTTCTACTTTAGAAGGCTTATCTTAAAAAATAAGAAATTATTTCAGTTGCAGGAAGTTGACAGCTGTGTCAGACAAATGGTTTTACTAAAGTGTCAGTGAACACTGCAGTAAAACTGCTATTAAAAACAATCAAATCAATATTTAATGTTTATTAAAAAGCCTACCATACAGTGCTTGACCAATCCTTTAGTTAGTCTAATGCACATGTGTCAACCGCAAGGCCCGCGGGCCACATCCGGCCCGCCATACAATTATATCCGGCCCG